TACGTGGCTGGTCGCTAGGCTAAGCTTGTCCTCTCTTCCCAGACACCTGCGAGTGCTTGTGGATTGGTTTACCTGTACAGAGGCAGGTTTACCTGACTAGGAATTGGGTTACCGTGGCCCAGGTGAGGAGTTTACCTGGGGAGAGAGGGTGAGGCAGCATGGAGTCCGGATCACCCGAGTGGCTCACGCCCGGACACGCAACAATAAACTTTTTAAGCCACCTGTTTTGCGGTACTCCAACAGGTGCATCGTGCACCTTTCAGTTGACGGGTGAACCGTTCAGTTAACGGGTGCATCTTCCTGTTAACGGTGTACGCATTGTGCCCCCGGCACTTGAACGCTTCGAAATTCCATCCCATCCTCTTCCTACCAGTCCCCGTTCCTTGGGAACAACCCAAGTTCCCGTCCGTTCCATCTCTCCCTCTGTAACATGCAAGGAACCCTACCCTCCGGGAGAGGTCAGACCCAGGCGACCTTTGACCCCCTGCAGAGTCTTTGAAGTACTCACCAGTTAATTTTGGTTGCAAACATCTTAATGGAAACATTCCATTGACCAGAAGCAGCCAACACCAAGGAAAACTCTCTCTCTCTCTCTCTCTCTCTCTCTCTCTCTCTCTCTCTCTCTCTCTCCCATATTGACTGACTTTCGCCCTCCTGGGCTGAGGTATGCTGAACTCTGTAACTACTATATGAATACTGGAACACTTGATGATATATTGAACTTGTTCCCAAGATTGACCATGTAATGTATCAACTATACAATGTATGTATGTGATGTAACTATATAATCTGAGCTTGTAAAAGCACCTTAATCACCTTCAGTGGTTAAGTGCTTAATAACACACTAGTTCTCTATCAGCTATCTTACCCTCTCAGAGTAGGAGAGCCATGAATGTATGTATATGTATGTGTATGTATGTATATATGTATATATTTAAGCGGGAAAAACCACATTTGAAAAATATAGAATGCTTAACGCGTTTTCGGCTAATTCGCCTTCATCAGAGCAAAATAGAATGAAGAAACCTTCATTCTACTTTGCTCTTTACGTAGGGCAAACGTAACTCTGTGTATCTATGTACAGGGTATTTACGTATGTAGGTTAGCTTAGCATTTTAAAAGCACCGAATCACCTTCTGTGGTTGAGTGTTCAATAAACCCCTGAACTATATGTTTAACACTTCTCTAACCCTGTCTATGGGGGACAGAAGTAAATGTATATATGCTGGTTAGCATTGTAAATGTCTGGCCACGTCTGTGGTAGAAAATAATAATAATAATAATAAAACCCGGTGTAGGGTGATAGTATTCAGAGTACCTGGGAGTGGGGAACGGGAGCCGGAGCTCGACCCAGTCATCTACAGGCCAGGTTGAGAGGCAGCTGTGAGAGGCAGCTGTGAGAGGCAGCTGTGAGAGGCAGCTGTGAGAGGCAGCTGTGAGAGGCAGCTGTAAGAGGCAGCTGTAAGAGGCAGCTGTAAGAGGCAGCTGTGAGAGGCAGCTGTAAGAGGCAGCTGTGAGAGGCAGCTGTAAGAGGCAGCTGTAAGAGGCAGCTGTGAGAGGCAGCTGTGAGAGGCAGCTGTAAGAGGCAGCTGTGAGAGGCAGCTGTGAGAGGCAGCTGTGAGAGGCAGCTGTGAGAGGCAGCTGTAAGAGGCAGCTGTGAGAGGCAGCTGTGAGAGGCAGCTGTAAGAGGCAGCTGTGAGAGGCAGCTGTAAGAGGCAGCTGTAAGAGGCAGCTGTGAGAGGCAGCTGTAAGAGGTAGCTGTAAGAGGCAGCTGTGAGAGGCAGCTGTGAGAGGCAGCTGTAAGAGGCAGCTGTAAGAGGCAGCTGTGAGAGGCAGCTGTAAGAGGCAGCTGTAAGAGGCAGCTGTGAGAGGCAGCTGTAAGAGGCAGCTGTGAGAGGCAGCTGTGAGAGGCAGCTGTAAGAGGCAGCTGTAAGAGGCAGCTGTGAGAGGCAGCTGTGAGAGGCAGCTGTAAGAGGCAGCTGTAAGAGGCAGCTGTGAGAGGCAGCTGTAAGAGGTAGCTGTGAGAGGCAGCTGTGAGAGGCAGCTGTGAGAGGCAGCTGTAAGAGGCAGCTGTAAGAGGCAGCTGTGAGAGGCAGCTGTGAGAGGCAGCTGTGAGAGGCAGCTGTAAGAGGCAGCTGTAAGAGGCAGCTGTGAGAGGCAGCTGTAAGAGGCAGCTGTGAGAGGCAGCTGTGAGAGGCAGCTGTAAGAGGCAGCTGTAAGAGGCAGCTGTAAGAGGCAGCTGTGAGAGGCAGCTGTAAGAGGCAGCTGTAAGAGGCAGCTGTAAGAGGCAGCTGTGAGAGGCAGCTGTAAGAGGCAGCTGTAAGAGGCAGCTGTAAGAGGCAGCTGTGAGAGGCAGCTGTAAGAGGCAGCTGTGAGAGGCAGCTGTGAGAGGCAGCTGTGAGAGGCAGCTGTGAGAGGCAGCTGTGAGAGGCAGCTGTGAGAGGCAGCTGTGAGAGGCCGTGGTCACAGGTAATGTGTCATATCTCTGGTATATTTCCCGTGTCTAAATTACTTACCATTTTGCTAGTGTAGGATATTGACTTAGGAATTTGTCAGTATAGGTGACAGGAATGTGTGGTGATCATCATTTCGACTTGATACAATCTTGTTACATTTCCTTCTTTGTGTGTCGATGGTTTTCCCTCCATTGTTAACTTCCGGGGCCAGATTCACGAAGAAGTTACGCAAGCACTTACGAACCTGGACATCTTTTCTCAATCTTTGGCGGCTTTATGTACAATTATTAAACAGTTAATGAGCTCGGAAGCACCAGGAGGCTGTTTATAACAATAACAACAGTTGATTGGGAAGTTTTCATGCTTGTAAACTGTTTAATAAATGTAACCAAAGCCGTCAAAGATTGAGGAAAGATGTACACGTTCGTAAGTGCTTGCGTAAGTGCTTTCGTGAATCTGGCCCCCTGGCCGTTGAACCTCCTTGTATGAACCTCGCAAATTCTCCAGTATTAAATTGTTTAATATATGTCAGTAAGTGATCACATCAAGAGAAGAAATCTCTCAGTAGTAATTAAAGTCTACAGGATGCGGTGGTCCCCCCCCCCCGTGAACCACTAATTAGTAATTATCAACTCTCTTGTAATAAGGAATATAATGGGATGAACAAATCCACAAGGGCCGTGACGAGGATTCAAACCTGCGTCCGGGAGCATCCCAGACGCTGCCTTAATCGACTGAGCTACGACAGGGTAAAAAGAGTTGAAACCGAAGTTCTACTGAACTTACTACAATCGTGTGGAATGTAATGGGGTGGTGGCAAGGTTATCTTGAGATGATTTCGGGGCTTTAGTGTCCCCGCGGCCCGGTCCTCGACCAGGCCTCCACCCCCAGGAAGCAGCCCGAAACATCTGACTAACACCCAGGTACCTAATTTACTGCTAGGTAACAGGGGCATAGGGTGAAAGAAACTCTGCCCATTGTTTCTCGCTGGCGCCTGGGATCGAACCCAGGACCACAGGATCACAAGTCCCGCGTGCTGTCCGCTCGGCCGACCGGCTCCCTCTCTACATTGTAAACACTACACTGTAACCGACACTACATTGTAAACATTGTGTAGACTGTTTAAGGAACTATACCTTAGAACACCAGTGGGTAAACCTACAGTGGTACAGTGGTATCAGGTAGAGGGTTACAGTGGTAGGAGGAGTTACACCTCCACTTCTTCCCTCATGTCACCTCCTTTCTCAGCTCCTCACTAACAGGTGCTCAAGATATCTTATCAGCTCTCTTATCATCCCACAGGCTCGGCTGGACACTCCCAGATTTCAGGGCCTTCATAAACATGATACCGGAACCGGAAGTGACAGAGCGACTTGGGTAGATAGCAGTTTTGGTGGCCGGATATCTTGCTTGTTCCAGCCTCGTTAGATTCCCTAAGATATGGCGCCAGGAGCGCCTCGCCTGGAGAGCCGAAAGCTCTCTCTTAACCGTTAGAGTGCGCGATATGTCCACCTCCCAGTGTGGGATCTGTTTATAGGAATTTGTCGACTTAAACAAGGCACCACCACCACCACTCCTCGAGCGAGGCACCACCACCACCACTCCTCGAGCGAGGCACCACCACCACCACTCCTCGAGCGAGGCACCACCACCACCACTCCTCGAGCGAGGCACCACCACTCCTCGAGCGAGGCACCACCACCACCACTCCTCGAGCGAGGCACCACCACCACCACTCCTCGAGCGAGGCACCACCTCCACCACTCGAGCGAGTATTTGAGTATTTGTATTTGAAGTACGTGGCTGAAGCATTATAGAATTGTGGTTCGAACGGAGGACGTGAGTGAAGCACTTGTTCTGGAAGTGTTCGGACGTATTCAGTTGTGAGTCGTGTGTAAACTGCTTTCCATTCATAAACAGGGGGTTTGGCGAGTGCATGGAATGGACTTTGGCCTTTGTTTATGAGGACGGCCTGGTAAATTCAAACTAATTTGAATCCCTTCGAATTGAGTAAATTCGAAGGGATTCACTTTTGTAATAGAAATCCAGCCCGTCCTCCAAACAAAGACTCAAAAGTGATTCCATGCACCCGCCAAACCCCCTGTTTATGAAGGAAAAACGGTTTACACACGACTCACAACTGATGACGTTCGAACACTTCCGGAACAATTGATTCACTGACGACTTTTATTCGAACCACAACGCTGTAAATGCTTCACCCACGTACTACAAATACAAATAATCGCCAACAGAACCTAAACACCTAACCTTACCTATGCCTATATATGCATAATATACTATTATCTTATATTAATTTATATTTGAGAAAATTCACGTTTGAATGAACAGCATGTAAAAATTTATGAATGCGTCTGTGGGGTCGACCCCTGGATGGAATGGACTTGAGTCGAGGACGGGTTGTAGAAATACTAGGAACAATAGCTTGTGATGGTGCTTTCTTTTAACTGGTCTTCTTAAAAGAATACTCACATTATAACAACAATGAAATGATAATAATAAAATATTGTGAGTATTTAAACACTGTTATATGACAACTTTTATTAGAAACCAGTTCAAAGCACATACAAAATTATTATAAGAATACCTGTATGTGAGAAGTATCCCAAGCATCTTAACATCCTTCATATAAAATGTTTCACAGCCAATACATATATCACATTAAATATTCTTGTCAAGATCCCCCATTAATCGTTATATTAATGCCTCAATCAAATAATAATATAAATACACAATAGGCTCTTGAACATACACATCACTCAATTAAGGGACGAGAGGCGGGACCCAAGAGGCTGAACTGTACCTCATGTATATATTCATGAATAAAACATGGCAACCACGTGTTAAACTCCTGGCTGAGTCTTCTGCCATTTAATGGAGGGTTATAAATTACTGCTACTATTATCTTAGGTCCACCCATTGTCATCGTGGCCATTATGTAGTCTGTGAATCCTTCACTGTCCGGGATATCCATCTCTTCAAAACGCCAGTCCTTCCTTATCAGCAGGGCCACTCCTCCTCCTCCTCTCTCTTCCCTGGTTGATACCTGGGTGATACCTGATACCTTCTTTTTCCTTACTATATAGTAGTCTTGTGGAGAGACTGCATGTGCAGTGTGTGTGTGTATGATAACCCTGGAAACACAAACCTTAACTGTCTCTATTTTCCGCTTGTTACAACTTGTAATAAAGTTCTTACATCTTGGCTTCATGTATTTATGACGTATTGAAACGTTGTTACAACTTGCTATATTGGTTGTTATAACTGGTTAGGAAGTGTTAAAACTTGTTCGAACGTTGTACCAACGTCGTAGTTTCGGTGTGCGTTTGGCGGGAAGAAAGTTATACGCAAGAAAATACCAATATTAGACACCTAAATCAAAATGAAAGAACGATAGTTCAATTGTCACTGTCCTCTCCAGATGCTGAAACTTTCAACAGGCGTCTATACTCCTTACAAGTGAAGCCGTCGTGAAAGTTCGTGTGACAAGAGATACATATTTTGGTGCTACACTCTGGACAGGTGAACGGAGCGCTGTTCTTCGGGGCGGCCCTGTACACTGACTGGCAGAGAGGAGTGATGCAGTAGTGAAGTCCTTTGTTATCATCCACAAAGGCACTGACTGAAGCACGGGTCACCGCCCTCTTCTCCAGACAACAATTCAAATTGGTGAGATCTCTACAGGTAAACATTTCGTCACACTCCTTCACAAAACAAACCAAAGGGAATTTTTTATTGTTGACAGCTTGGGTTATATGTAATCTTATGCACCTTTGGCAATAAGCATGTCCGCAATATTCCAGTCTGTACAAGGTATTGCTGGTATTAATTGGGAACAAGCAAATCACACATAGCGGGTCATCTTTATTTAGCGCTGATCCATCGCCTATCAGAGTTTGCATGACCTTATTCACAACATGAGCTGCCTTCCTGACACACTTCCTTGACCCAAACAAATATAGTCGATGATTCCTGTAATCCAGCTTTAAGGCGGAGAGTCCAGTCTCAGCCCGTAAGCCCCCAAGAGTACTTCCATATGTCTCCATCAGAGTTTTCATCACCCCTGGAGGCTTCCCACCCCCTGTCAATTCTATATATTTCAAACTTTCCACTGATAGCTGTAAAAACTTGTAAATCTTATCCTTAGCACTCTGGCGGGCTTCTGTTGGTCCATGGATGGAGAGTGTTGTTATCCTGTCATCAGTGACGATCAGAGTGGCAGTAGTGTACATGATGGCGTCCAGAACTGCCTTCCCTTCCTGCTTGAACAACACCTTGGCTCCTCCCTCACACTTCAAATCGATTACTTCCCCTGCAACCACCTTTTCCACTTTCAGTTTTCCTGTGACAAGAACTCTGGCATCTTCACAACTCAAGTACATCATTACATCTCCATTTCGAAGATGTTTTAAAGCTACGGACATTCCGTTCTCTTCCATTTCATTAACAAGTTCCAGAAGTTTGTTATAATTTATTTGGAAGACTTTCTCTTGTATGTATAGGGAGCTGTCGGGCGAGGCCTCTCCTCCAACTTTTTTCTCCAGACGCAAAAATTTACATAAATGTTTATATGCAATATGCACATCATCAGTGTTCTTCAAAACATAATAGGCAGTAAAGTTAACATCTCCTTCACATGGCTCTTTTAAGTATAAACTAACTGCATCAAATTTAATCAAGTCCCCAATTTTGTTTGACAACTGCTTTTGCATTTTCCATTGTTTTACCTTCAATTCTGGAATCCTAACCTCTAATATGTCTCTGGGATCAATGTTCAAAGCAGCTGCGATGTCACTCTGTAGACTGTATTCCGTCACCTCTTTATCCAAATGGAGTATTCTTAATGAGTTCTTATCTTCGCTGATGGCTAACTGTGCACCTCCCAACCACCCGCGTGAGTTACACTCTTCAACAGCTTCCAAGTGGTACTTCTCATCACTAAAACGTATGTATCCTAACTTTAGACTAAAATTTCTATGCCACTGAATCTTGATAGCTAAGTTGTTGGCACCATTTGGCTGCACAACCAAACCATAATTGCTCTCAAGATCAGCTTCCAGGTCTTCCACAGCCCGGAGAGCGGCTCCAATTTTCTTATATGTAATGTGTCCCCATAAGCTTGAATTTTCTGTTTGAATGTATTTTTGGTAATCTTCAATTTCTCCATTCTCCTCAAATAGTTTTAATATGCTTTCAGTATACATCTCTGTATTATGTTCTGGTACATGAATCATGACTGTTTTGGACTCCTCTGATGTGAGTATATTTGAAACACTCCCCCCTGCTCCTATGAGTGCCCTCAGGCCACGGAGCTTTTGTCCAAAACGCTCTAGGCATTTTTCTTGTAGGAACTTTGCCTTCAGAGGAGCAAGAGCTGCCAAAGCAGCTCCGTGGAGATCTGACTCATTGTCCTTTAAAGCGACCAACTGCAATTCTTTCTTCTCTTTCTCATAGAAAACAAATACCTCTGACTCTGGAAACTTTTCCAAGAGGAATAACTTAAAAGTTTCAAGGTATTTAGACGAGAAAAATTTGCAAGCCAGCTGATCCCCTACACCTACCCGGCACACTACTGCCACACGGTTGTTCTGTAACTCTTCCATGTCTAATGACAGACATCCGTTCCTTAATTCCTGTCCGATCAAATATGATGGCACATGTGTATATTTTGCTACAGAAGTGCAAGGGTAAGTATTAACTACATTGGACACTACCCATTCTGGCTCAACTCCAAGTAGATGCAAAGCAGAGGTTTGTTCAATATGAACCCTTCCCTTATCTGAGATAATATAGTACCCACCTGCTGGATGTCCCAGATAGTAACTCAGTCTCCCTCTCAACAATTTGAACAAAAGACTTTTCAGCAACCAATCCTCTGCAGCCAATTTACGAAACACAAATTTAATGTCTATTTTAAATACCTTCTTAATTCTTCGCAACATCTCGCAAACGGCTGCATTTGCATCTGTCAGTGAACGCTGTTGAACGAAATAGTAGGAACACCAGGTGTGTTTGTTGTCATCTGGTACCTCAAGCCATTGTCTGAACACATTAAGCTCAGTCAAGTGGTCGCTTCCATCGTGACACAGTGCAAGTTTCCGAGCTGCAGTCAACTTCTTGTCTCTCTTTTCTGACACAAAAACTTCTCTCCAGTACAGTTCAGCTAATACAATGGCTTCCAGACCAACGCCTTCACGCACTCCTTCATAAACCAGTTCACAAGTCTCTGGTTTAAGAGACAGTTCGACAATCCACCGGCCGATGTCTGTAATTTGGTTCCCAACAATTATTCCATCTCTTGTCAGTTTAGAATATACTTCATTCCAATCTTGAACATCTGGCTTGGTAATGAAGTCAAACTTTCTGGGGTCAATACCTAGGTCTAGCAATTTGTACACAAGCATACAGGGATCAATACTTTTTATCTCGGGAGGAGCATTGTCATCCATTTTCATGTGATGAGCGGGTGTGTACAACCGGTAACATGTTCCTGAAGACACCCGCCCCACCACACCCAGCCTCTGCTTGGCACTACACTGGGATATATCTCTTACAGTATATTTCCTCTTCCACTGAGCTTCTCTAGTAAACACCCTAACTTGTGTATACCCAGCATCAATGACGTACCTAACCTTGGGTATGGTTACAAAAATCTCTGCACAATCTGAGGAGAAGATGATTTTCCGTTTAGGAATGGCATTAAAATAAGGAATGGGATTAAAGACGCATTGTTTACGATGATCCTCTAAATTCTCATGAAGAAGCAGGGCAACGTAATCCTTTGCCTTATAACCCATTAAATTGATGCACCTTTCATAGCAACTGCTCGCTGAGGAGGGTGAATATAATATTACTATAATGTCCCCTTCTTCCTCTGACTGGTGAACCTTCACAGCTGTCTTCGCAGCTTCATTTACAAAGTTACCAAACGGTCCAGTATCCTTCCATTCTACCGTGACAGGGAACTTTCGACCAGTTACTTCCAGCACGGGACACTGCTGGAAGTATTCGACAAAGGGTGCTGGATTTAGAGCATTACACGTGATAACAAGGCGAAGATCTGATCGCTTCTGGAGGCAGCGTTTTATCAGCCCAAGTAGAATATCTAATTTCAAACTCCGTTCGTGTGCTTCCAAGACGATACATGAAACTTCTGTAAGATTCTCATTTTTCAGACATTTACGTAAGAGTGTATTATTTGTCACATATTCAATTTTTGTCTCTGGTATAACATAAGTCGCTTTGTCATGTGGGTGGTTGACAAACTGTCCACCACTGAGCATTTCCCCGGTGACATAGGAGGCTAACATCTTTGCTCCAATCCTGCATGGCTGAGTACACATAATACTGCCACTGTTGAGAAAACCCGCATGATGCAGGTATTGTGGGATCTGAGAGCTCTTCCCACACCCTGGCTCACCCACTATGACTGTAACTTGGTTGGTTTTAACAGTGTTAAGGATATCGGAGCGTCTTGTGTAAACTGGTGAGGCATCAAACAATCTATTGCACTCAAGTGTGAAAACTAAATTTAATTCATTCTCTGGCCATTTAAAATTGCTTGGTCTTTGTGGTTCAACAAGTTCATCAAACATTTTTTTCATGTATAGCAGGAATTCTTGTTTCTGAAGAACTAACTGTCTTTCCTTATCCACTAGATCCTGTATTATGGAGTTTGGTGAGGCACTCCCATCGCGGGGCGACTCTTTCTCCTGCTGCCGAGCAAGTTCAAGTTCACGCTGAACATTTGAGATCTTGTTAAAATGACTTTCAAGAACATTTTGCAGGTGTCCTCCCAGAACCATCAGTATGTGCTCAGTAGAGAGGCCCTGTTCCTCTGCATCCTGTGAGGTGTCAAAGCACCATATTTTGACTTTGGAACTGTCATTGTCAAAGTGAGGTTTAGTTGTCACCTGCTTTGTGTCTTGACAGATGTCAACCGTCAACATGCTTAACGTATTATGGTGCTCCTCCTCCGTCACTGTCAATTCTGCACCAGCTGGAAATTGACTGGGAATGTAGCCAAATATATTGACATTCCCCCTCGTTAACTTTGGAAAATTAAGATACATAACAATAGGCCGCGGCCAAAAGTCACGAAGCATGCTGTCAGAAGTTAATGTTGGTAGCGGACATGGCAGATGTGTGACCTCGCTGGCGGCAGATGACGGCACCCCTTCAGGGCAACTATCAAGTATGGCACCCGTCCTGCCACTGGCACCCCCACTGCCACGCCCTTCACCTGTGGGCACGGTACAGGTGACCTCAACAGCCTCCTGCCCCCTCGGTGTCGTCACAGCAGCTGTCCTGCTGCACCCTCTTACCACATTACTAATAATAAACAGCCGACTTGGCACTTTTATGGGAAATGCTGCAGCTTCCGTGGAAAATTTCCTTTCAGAATTTAAGAGTTCTCTCTCTCTTTGGCACTCTGAAAATATTAAGTTACAACTTGTTACTGAATCACAGGAAGATGTATAATATATATATATATATATATATATATATATATATATATGTGCGTGTAAATCATTAATAATAAACACGTGATTAAAAATGTGACAGTGTCAGACCACGGAGGAAAATTGAAACAGGAATTTCCTTAAGTACTTTCGTATATTAATACATCTTCAGAAGGAGTGACACTGTCTGGCGTGGTCTGACACTGTCATATATATATATATATATATATATATATATATATATATATATATATATATATATATATATATATATATGTCGTACCTAGTAGCCAGAACTCACTTCTATGCCTACTATTCAAGGTCCGATTTGCCTAATAAGCCAAGTTTTCATGAATTAATTGTTTTTCGTCTACCTAACCTACCTAACCTAACCTAACCTAACATTTTCGGCTACCTCACCTAACCTAACCTATAAAGATAGGTTAGGTTAGGTTAGGTAGGGTTGGTTAGGTTCGGTCATATATCTACGTTAATTTTAACTCCAATAAAAAAAAATTGACCTCATACATAATGAAATGGGTGGCTTTATCATTTCATAAGAAAAAAGTTAGAGAAAATATATTAATTCAGGAAAACTTGGCTTAATAGGCAAATCGGGCCTTGGACAGTAGGCCGAGAAGTGCGTTCTGGCTATTAGGTACGACATATATATATATATATATATATATATATATATATATATATATATATATATATATATATATATATATATATATATATAAAAGTGTGTGTGTGTGTAAATCACGATGAAATAAACACGTGAGGAACAATATGAGAGTGTCAGACCACGAAGGTAAGGAAGGAGTAAGATAGGAATTTCCTTAAGTACTTTCGAATTTAATAATACATTTTCAGAAGGATGGATTTACAGTTCAGTGGATGTGAGCTGTAATGAATCACTCGAGCACCACACACACACCTGGTCCACACCTGCAACCCTGAGCACCACACACACACACACCTGGTCCACACCTGCAACCCTGAGCACCACACACACACACACCTGGTCCACACCTGCAACCCTGAGCACCACACACACACACACCTGGTCCACACCAGCAACCCTGAGCACCACACACACACACACCTGGTCCACACCAGCAACCCTGAGCACCACACACACACACCTGGTCCACACCAGCAACCCTGAGCACCACACACACACACCTGGTCCACACCTGCAAGCCTGAGCACCACACACACACACACCTGGTCCACACCAGCAACCCTGAGCACCACACACACACACACCTGGTCCACACCAGCAACCCTGAGCACCACACACACACACACCTGGTCCACACCAGCAACCCTGAGCACCACACACACACACACCTGGTCCACACCAGCAACCCTGAGCACCACACACACACACACCTGGTCCACACCAGCAACCCTGAGCACCACACACACACACACACCTGGTCCACACCAGCAACCCTGAGCACCACACACACACACACACCTGGTCCACACCTGCAAGCCTTAGCACCACACACACACACACACACCTGGTCCACACCAGCAAGCCTGAGCACCACACACACACACACCTGGTCCACACCAGCAACCCTGAGCACCACACACACACACACACCTGGTCCACACCAGCAACCCTGAGCACCACACACACACCTGGTCCACACCAGCAACCCTGAGCACCACACACACACCTGGTCCACACCAGCAACCCTGAGCACCACACACACACACACCTGGTCCACACCAGCAACCCTGAGCACCACACACACACACACCTGGTCCACACCAGCAAACCTGAGCACCACCCACACACCTGGTCCACACCAGCAACCCTGAGCACCACACACACACACCTGGTCCACACCAGCAACCCTGAGCACCACACACACACACACCTGGTCCACACCAGCAAGCCTGAGCACCACACACACACACACACCTGGTCCACACCAGCAACCCTGAGCACCACACACACACACACCTGGTCCACACCAGCAACCCTGAGCACCACACACACACACACCTGGTCCACACCAGCAACCCTGAGCACCACACACACACACACCTGGTCCACACCAGCAACCCTGAGCACCACACACACACACACCTGGTCCACACCAGCAACCCTGAGCACCACACACACACACACCTGGTCCACACCAGCAAGCCTGAGCACCACACACACACACACACCTGGTCCACACCAGCAACCCTGAGCACCACACACACACACACCTGGTCCACACCAGCAACCCTGAGCACCACACACACACACACCTGGTCCACACCAGCAACCCTGAGCACCACACACACACACACCTGGTCCACACCAGCAACCCTGAGCACCACACACACACCTGGTCCACACCAGCAACCCTGAGCACCACACACACACACACACCTGGTCCACACCAGCAAGCCTGAGCACCACACACACACACACCTGGTCCACACCAGCAAGCCTGAGCACCACACACACACACACACCTGGTCCACACCAGCAAGCCTGAGCACCACACACACACACACCTGGTCCACACCAGCAACCCTGAGCACCACACACACACACACACACCTGGTCCACACCAGCAACCCTGAGCACCACACACACACACACACACCTGGTCCACACCAGCAACCCTGAGCACCACACACACACACACACACACCTGGTCCACACCAGCAACCCTGAGCACCACACACACACACACACACCTGGTCCACACCAGCAACCCTGAGCACCACACACACACACACACACCTGGTCCACACCAGCAACCCAGAGCACCACACACACACACACACACCTGGTCCACACCAGCAACCCTGAGCACCACACACACACACACACCTGGTCCACACCAGCAACCCTGAGCACCACACACACACACCTGGTCCACACCAGCAACCCTGAGCACCACACACACACACACCTGGTCCACACCAGCAAGCCTGAGCACCACACACACACACACACCTGGTCCACACCAGCAAGCCTGAGCACCACCCACACACCTGGTCCACACCAGCAACCCTGAGCACCACACACACACACACCTGGTCCACACCAGCAAACCTGAGCACCACACACACACACCCGGTCCACACCAGCAAGCCTGAGCACCACACACACACACCTGGTCCACACCTGCAAACCTGAGCACCACACACACACCTGGTCCACACCTGCAAACCTGAGCACCACACACACACCCGGTCCACACCTGCAAACCTGAGCACCACACACACACACCCGGTCCACACCAGCAAGCCTGAGCACCACACACACACCTAGTCCACACCTGCAAGCCTGAGCACCACAAACACACCTGGTCTACACCTGCAAGCCTGAGCACCACACACCCACACACCCGGTCCACACCTGCAAGCCTGAGCACCACACACACACACACACACCTGGTCCACACCTGCAAGCCTGAGCACCACACACACACACACACCCGGTCCACACCAGCAACCCTGAGCACCACACACACACACACACCTGGTCCACACCTGCAAGCCTGAGCACCACACACACACACACCCGGTCCACACCAGCAACCCTGAGCACCACACACACACACCCGGTCCACACCAGCAAGCCTGAGCACCACAAACACACCTGGTCCACACCTGCAAGCCTGAGCACCACACACACACACACACCCGGTCCACACCAGCAACCCTGAGCACCACACACACACACACACCCGGTCCACACCAGCAACCCTGAGCACCACAAACACACCTGGTCCACACCTGCAAGCCTGAGCACCACAAACACACCTGGTCTACACCTGCAAGCCTGAGCACCACACACACACACACCCGGCCCACACCTGCAAGCCTGAGCACCACACACACACACACCTGGTCCACACCAGCAACCCTGAGCACCACACACAGAGTCAAGACAGCCACACCAACAGTGAAACAGCCCCATCAATAACCAATACATTACCAACAAACAAAACCTTACCCCCTAAATAAAAAAATATATAAAGATAAAATGCCACAATTTTCAAGTCCCAATACCTGCACAAACTGCCAGAAAGTCCAAACATGGAACACAGTACAAGAGAAACAAATGCTACCTGTGAGCGGCACGACTGCAAGTCCAACCATTCTTCGTCAGAACTACTCCCAACATCCTCCACAGTCAAGATGGCGGACCTATTTTGTGTTACCTGAACTCCCTTGGTTGTCGGAGGTCGGCGTCCACACGCCTCCAACACCCGTCCTTTGATCCACCTGCCGAGGCTGCTTACGCCAGGACACACCATCCGCTCTTGGCCTTTGATCCACCTGTCGAGGCTGGCTACGCCGCGAAATCTGATGGTTACTGGTGGGCTGGTCTACCTGGCGACGTTGGCTACGCCAGGAATTCCAATGGTCACTTGAGGTCTGGTAAACCTGCCGAGGTTGGCTACGCCAGGAGATTCCATGGTGACTTGTGAGCTGGTCTACCTCTCTAGGACGGCGACGCCCGCCCTCTCCTTCCTCACCTGGACCCTTTGTTGACATTTACTCAGCTCTATGACGGACCTGATGAAGTGAAAATGGTTTCCCATCTAATATTTAATTTAAATTTGATTAACAAGTAACCCCCTAATATTTAACAATGCTGAAAAAACACCTGATAGGTGAATGCATGTCTGTTCAAAGTTCAATACCAGATGTTTGAGGCTTTACTTCAACATTTCAGGATGACACATGGGTGGTACAGAACTGTCATAGGCTGGTCTGGGTCGTCCCCAGTGACCTGCTTTAAGGACAATTAGCTATTCCAAATCCCAAGGACTCCTATGAAGTCTGCAATAGGATATATATATATATATATATATATATATATATATATATATATATATATATATATATATATATATGTCGTACCTAGTAGCCAGAACGCACTTCTCAGCCTACTATGAAAGGCCATATTTGCCTAATAAGCCAAGTTTTCATGAATTAATTGTTTTTCGACTACCTAACCTACCTAACCTAACCTAACCTAACTTTTTCGGCTACCTAACCTAACCTAACCTAAAAAGATAGGTTAGGTTAGGTTAGGTAGGGTTGGTTAGGTTCGGTCATATATCTACGTTAATTTTAACTGCAATAAAAAAATATTGACCTCATACATAATGAAATGGGTAGCTTTATCATCTCATAAGAAAAAAAATTGAGAAAATATAATAATTCAGGAAAACTTGGCTTATTAGGCAAATCGGGCCTTGCATAGTAGGCCGAGAAGTGCGTTCTGGCTACTAGGTACGACATATATATATATATATTGATAGCAGTCTTTCTTGTAAACATATGTTGTTGAATATGACCGAAAAGGTAAGATTAATAATTCTAACGCGAATTTTCTCAATATTTCTTATGTTTCTTTTCACTGTCGATGGTAATTGAAAAATCAATTCTCAAAAATTCATTTTTATTTCTAGTCTGATGCGACGCCTGAACGTGTTTCGTAATAAGTTATTACATTTTCAAAGACTTTAGTTTACATACACAATTGTAACCTGTAAACACACAAAATACATCCATACTTATACTCGCATTTGGGTGAGGTGATATGGTACAACAGTTTTGGGTGAGGTGATATGGTACAACAGTTTTGGGTGAGGTGATATGGTACAACAGTTTTGGGTGAGGTGATTGACATTTGCACATGATAGAACACGAACCAATGGGTATAAAAATATAAGCCCTGGTGATGCTCTGTTACTCCCTCATCTATCCTTATCTCAATTATGGTATTTGTGCTTGGGGTTCTACTACCCAAAATCACTTGCGTCCTCTAATTACCCGATACAAAGCTGCCGATAGAACAATATCTAACTCTGGCCCCAGACAGCACTCGGTACCCTTATTCAAATCTCTGAATATGTTAGATATTAAGTCACTGCACATTCTCTCATGTGTACTCTATATATTTAAAACTCTGAACTGTAATGTCAATTCTGACCTTAAAAGCTTCATTGAAGGTTGTAACAGAACCCATGGGCACCACACCAGAAACAAATACCTATTTGATATTTCAAGAGTACGACTTAATCAAACTAGAAATGCTCTACAAATCAAGGGATCCAGAATGTGGAATGACCTTCCCAACCATGTCAAAGGCTGTACCTCTCTCAACCAGTTTAAGATGAAAACGAAGCACTACCTAATTAACTCCATGTAACCTACCTTACCCCTAAATGTCAACCCATGTCTTACTATTTTTAAACAATGCTGTTTGTTGACCAACTTGTATATTGACTATTTTCTGCCATGTTCCCCCTTTTTTATCTTTTATTTTTTTCAACACAATTTATACTTTAAGCTCAATTACTATTAAGTTTTAGTCAAAGTGTTTTTCCCCACGTCACCTTGCCCGAAACACTATGCATACTAGTGGCTTTAGGTATTGTATGTACTGTACCTCTATCTGTAAATCCAACATTATGTTTGTAAATCAACTATGTATGTACTTTCTTGAATAAAATTTATTTTATTTATAAGAATGGAAGTAACTACAGAAGGCCTATTGGCCCATAGCATCAACACTTCCTCTTGGTGCTTCTATATTGGTTCGGAGTCTTGAAGTGGGTAAAATATAGTTGTGCATTAATTGGCTGTTGATTGTTGGTGTTGAATTTTTTATGTGTAGTGCCTCGCTGATGTCGAGTCTCCTGCTATCGCTGTATCTAACGATGATTTCTGTGTTGTTTGTTAAGATTTCTCTGGTGATGGTCTGGTTGTGAGAAGAGATTATATGTTCCTTGATGGAGCCCTGTTGTTTATGCTTTGTTAATTTCCTAGAAAGAGACGTTGTTGTCTTGCCTATATACTGAGATCTTTGAGGCTTATAGTCCCCAAGTGGGCATTTGATGGCATAGACGACGTTGGTTTCCTTCAAGGTGTTCTGCTTGGTGTCTGGAGAGTATTTCATGAGTAGGTTGGCCTTTTTTTGGTTTTATAGTAAATCGCCAATTGTATCTTCTGATTTTTATCTGTAGGGATAACGTTCCTATCAACAATATCTATCAGGACCCTTTCCTCCGTTTAATGAGCCGTCGAAAAGAAGTTCCTGTAAAATAGTCTAATAGGGGGTACATGTGTTAGTTGACTCTTCAGAGGTTGAATGGCATTTCACCTTTCTTTTTATGATGTCTTTAACAAAACCATTAGAGAGGCCGTTGTTGACTAGGACCTGCCTTACCCTACAGAGTTCTTCATCGACTTGCTTCCATCCTGAGCTGTGGCTGAGAGCACGGTCGACGTAAGCATTGACAACACTCCTTTTGTACCTGTCTGGGCAGTCGTTATTGGCATTGAGGCACATTCCTATGTTTGTTTCCTTAGTGTAGACTGCAGTGTGGAAGCCTCTGCTCCTTTCCGTGACTGTTACATCTAGAAAGGACAGCTTCCCATTCTTCTTCATCTCGTAAGTGAAACTCAACACAGAATTCCACTCAAATGCCTCCTTCAGCTCCTGCAGACGTCTGGCATCAGGTACTTGTGTAAAAATGTTGTCAACATACCTGCAGTATATGGCAGGTTTCAAGTCCATGTCAACTAAGTCCTTCTGCTCGATGGTACCCATGTAGAAGTTCGCTAACAGGACACCTAGGGGAGAACCCATGGCGACCATCCACTTGCTTATACATGTGCCCATCAGGGCTCAAGAAGGGTTCCTCTTTAGTGCAAGCTTGGAGTAGTTTCCTTAGTATGTTTTCTGGTATGTCAAGAGGAGTGCAAGCCGGATCACGATACACTCTGTCCGCTATCATCCCGATTGTTTCATCCACAGGAACGTTGGTAAACAGTGATTCTACGTCCAACGAGGCTCTTATCCCTGTGGCCCGTGTTCCCTGCAGTAAGTCAACAAATTCCTTTGGAGACTTCAGGGTGAAAGCACAAGGCACATAAGGAGTCAGCAAGCCGTTGAGTCGCTTATCCTGTCTGTATGTGGGTGTGGAAGTGGGTTTCCAGGCGTGTGGGTCTTGACATTTCCATACGCATACCCAAGTTTGTATTCCCCAGGCTCACAAGCCTGGAAACCAACTTCGGCCAATCATCAGCCAGACACCCACACCCACATACAGACTGGCTAAGTGATTCAACGGCTTGCTGACTCCTTATGTACCTTGTGCTTTCAGCTTAAAGTCTCCAAAGGAATTTGTTGACTTACTGCAGGGAACACGGGCCACAGGGATAAGAGCCTCGTTGGACGTAGAATCACTGTTTACCAACGTACCTGTGGATGAAACAATCGGGATGATAGCGGACAGAGTGTATCGTGATCCGGCTTGTACTCCTCTTGACATACCAGAAAACATACTAAGGAAACTACTCCAAGCTTGCACTAAAGAGGCACCCTTCTTGAGCCCAGATGGGCACATGTATAAGCAAGTAGATGGGGTCGCCATGGGTTCTCTCCTAGGTGTCCTGTTTGCGAACTTCTATGTGGGTACCAATGAGCAAAAGGTCTTAGTTGACATGGACTTGAAACCCGCCATATACTGCAGGTACGTTTACGACATTTTTACACAAGTACCTGATGCCAGACGTCTGCAGAAGCTGAAGGAGGCATTTGAGCGGAATTCTGTGTTGAGTTTCACTTACGAGATGGAGAAGGATGGGAAGCTGTCCTTTCTAGATGTAACAGTCATAGAAAGGAGTGGAGGCTTCCACACTGCAGTCTACACTAAGGAAACAAACATAGGAATGTGCCTCAATGCCAATAGTGACTGCCCAGACAGGTACAAGAGGAGTGTTGTCAACACTTATGTCAACCATGCTCTTAGCCACAGCTCAGGATGGAAGCAAGTCGATGAAGAACTCTGTAGGGTATGGCAGGTCCTAGTCAACAACGGCTTCTCTAATGGTTTTATTGAAGACATCATAAAAAGAAAGGTGAAAAGCCATGCAACCTCTGAAGAGTCAACTAACACATGTACCCCCTATTAGACTATTTTACAGGAACTTCTTTTCGACGGCTCATAAAACGGAGGAAAGGGTCCTGAAAGATATTGTTGATAGGAACGTTATCCCAACAGACAAAAATCAGAAAATACAATTGAAAATTTACTATAAAGCCAAAAAAAAAAAACGGCCAATCTACTCATGAAAAACTCTCCAGACACCAAGCAGAACACCTTGAAGGAAACCAACGTCGTCAATGCCTTCAAATGCCCACTTGGGGACTATAAGCCCCAAAGAACTCAGTATATAGGCAAGACAACAAAGTCTCTTTCCAGGCGATTAACAATTCATAAACAACAGGGCTCCATCAAGGAACATATAATCTCTTCCCACAACCAGACTATCACCAGAGAAATCTTAACAAACAACACTGAAATCATCTTTAGATACAGCGATAAGCAGGCGGCTTGACATCTGCGAGGCACTCAAGAAGATAATCCAAATGCGAGTATAAGTATGGATGTATTTTGCGTGTTTACAGGTTACAGTTGTGCGTGTAAACTAAAGTCTTTGAAAATGTAATAAGTTATTACGAAATGCATTCAGGTGCCGCGTCAAACTAGAATTAA